CAAGAATATGTTCTCTTTAATCTTTCAGAAGCAAAGGTTAAACCTGATACAACCAATATTCCTATTGTCTCTGAATACTCAGAGGTTTTTCCGGATGAAATTTCAGGTTTACCCCCAAACAGAGAAATTGAATTCTCTATTGACCTAATATCTGGAGTAGGGCCAATTTCTATTGCACCTTATAGGAATTCACCTGTAGAGCTTGTTGAACTAAAGAAACAATTAGAAGAACTTCTATTAAAGCAGTTCATCAGACCAAGTGTGTCACCTTTGGGAGCACCAGTGCTATTTGTCAAGAAAAAGGATGGAAGTTTGAGGTTGTATGTAGATTATAAGCAACTAAATAAAGTCACCATTAAAAATAAATACCCTTTGCCTAGGATAGATGACCTTTTAGACCAGTTGAGAGGAGGAGCCATAATGTTTTCTAAAATAAATTTGAGGTCAGGATATCACCAGATTAGAATTAAGACTGAAGATATTCCAAAGACAGCCTTTAGGACTAGGTATGGACATTATGAATATTTAGTAATGCTTTTTGGATTGACAAATGCTCCAGCTATATTTATGGATTACATGAATAGTATTTTTAGACCTTATTTAGATCAATTTGTAGTGGTATTTATAGATGATATTTTAATATATTCTAGGAATAAATAGAAGCATAAGGAGCATTTAAGGATAGTATTACGAATTTTGAAAGATAAGCAATTGTATGCCAAACTTTCAAAATGTGAATTCTGGATGGAAGAAATTAAGTTCTTAGGGCATGTTATATCAAAAGAAGGAGTGACAGTTGATCCTAGTAAAATTGAGATTGTAATACATTGGGAGAGACCTAAGACTATCACTGAGATCAGGAGTTTCCTAGGATTGGCAGGATATTATAGAAGATTTATTAAGGAATTTTTACAATTAGTGTTACCTTTAACTAGGTTAACTAGAAATGGAGTTCCTTTTGTTTGGACACAAGAATGTGAAGACTGTTTTCAAGATTTGAAGAATAAGTTGACATCTACACCAATTTTAATAATCCCTGATCCATTAGAAAAATTTGAAATTTATAGTGATGCATCTAGGAAGGGATTATGATGTGTCTTAATGCAAGAAAGAAAAGTTGTAGCTTACACATCAAGACAATTGAGACCTTATGAGGAAAATTATCCAACTCATGATTTAGAATTGGCTGCAGAAGTTTTTGCTCTTAAGATTTGGAGGCATTATTTGTATGGAGTCAAGTTTGAGGTTTTTAGTGATCATAAAAGTCTTAAATATTTATTTGACGAAAAAGAATTGAATATAAGGCAAATGAGGTGGATGGAATTTTTGAAAGACTATGATTTTGAACTTAAATACCAGCCAGGAAAAGCTAATGTGGTAGCTGATGCTTTAAGTAGAAAATCTCTTCACATGTCATATTTAATGGTCAAAGAAATGGAGTTGTTGGAAAAAATTGGAGATATGAAATTATCTGTGACTGTATTACCTCGAAGTTTAGGTATTAGTGAAATAAAAGTCGATAATGAGCTAATAGATAAAATTAGAAAAGCTCAACAGGAAGATTCAGGTTTAGAAAAAAATTTGAAACGGGAAGGATTTACCAAAGGGGAAGATGGGTTAGTGAAATTTCAAGGAAGGATTGTTGTACCTAAAGAGGAATAAATGATGAAAGAAGTTTTGAATGAGGCACATAGCAGTAAGTTCACAGTTCACCCTGGTTCCACCAAAATGTATCAAGACTTGAAAAAAATATTTTGGTGTCCAAGAATGAAAAATTATATTGCTGAGTATGTTTCAAAATGTCTAGTTTGTCAAAAAAGTGAAAATTGAACATCAAAAGCCTTCAGGATTACTTCAACCATTAAACATACCAGAATGGAAGTGGGAAAGTGTAGCTACTGATTTTGTGATGGGTTTACCAAGAACCCAAGAGGGATATGATGCAATTTGGATAATCATTGATCGATTAACCAAATCTGCTCATTTTCTACCAATTAGGGCTCAATATTCTATTGAGAGGTTAGCCCAACTGTATATAAAAGAATTTGTCAAACTTCATGGGGTACCTCTAAGTATTGTGTCAGATAGAGACTCCAGATTTACTTCTAGATTTTGGGGATGTTTACAACAAGCCTTTGGAACTAAGTCGAGACTTAGTACAACATATCATCCTCAAACTGATGGCCAAACTGAGAGAATCATTCAAACTTTAGAGGATATGCTGAGAGCTTGCATCCTTGAACAAGGAGGTAACTGGGGTAGATACCTGTCATTAATAGAGTTTGCTTATAATAATAGTTACCACTCTAGTATTGGAATGACTCTATATGAGGCACTCTATGGAAGAAAGTGTAGATCTCCAGTGTGTTGGTATGAAAAGGGGAAAAACAGTTATTGGGACCGGAATGAGTCCAAGAAACCTCGAGACAAATTCAGATGATAAAGGAAAATCTTGAAAAAGCACAAAGCAGACAGAAGAATTATGCAGATAACAGGCGAAAACCTTTGCCTTTTGAAGAGGGAGAACATGTCTTTCTTAAAATTTCTCCTACTACAGGTGTAGGCAGAACCCTCAAAGTTAGGAAATTGAGTCCTAGGTATATTGGTCCGTTTCAAATACTCTGAAAAATAAGGTCAGTTGCTTGATAAACCTTTAGTTTATCTTATTTTATAGACTAAATTAATATAAAATATCAAGTTAAATAAGTCAAAAACTAGGGTTTAATATAATAATCATGAACATTATCTGAATTTTTATTTAATTGAATCATCTTTGCTATTTTTTAGGGATTTGTTGACAAAAGGAGTCAAAGATGAAGATTGGATAGATAGAGATCACAACTAGAAAAGATGAGATCAAGAGATGATAGAGGAAGATAAAAAACAAGATAGATTTGAGATCTTATCAAGTTGTTAGAGAAGAAGCTTAAGCCTCCATCATGAAGCTTAAGCTTCCTAAACAAGCAAATAGCCTCTGCCAATGGAAGCTTAAGCCCCAATAAGGAAGCTTAAGCCTCCAAGATACCCAAAAAAGTCTCGGCCTATGGGCGCTTAAGCCCCCAAATCAGGGCTTAAGCGCGCCACAAGAAGAAAGTTTTGTCGCGAGGAGCGCGCTTAAGCGCGCAACGCGAATCTAAAATCACCGTCCTAGGGCGCTTAAGCGCGCTATAACAAGCTTAAGCGCCCAGTCAGATCCAACTTAGGCCCATTCAAGGTGTTTCATCAAGATACGAACTCTTGACCTATTTAAACACCATTGGGGACCAGAAATACATAACTTTCACATTGCAAAACAACTCTTGGGTGCTTAGAGGCTGAAGGAACGCGGAGGAACATCAGATTCATGTTCGTGAGCGGCGGAGACAGATCAACGTCAAGTGTTCACTGGAGACATTGAAGATCCATCAATTATCTATGGAGTTTGGGGGAGCTTTTCTATTTTCTTTTGTTCTTGATTTTGCTATGTCCGGCTAGTTCTTTAAGTAGTTAGGGTTAGATGGATTTTAGTCAATTTATTATGTTTTGAACAATTCGTTGTGTTAATTTTCCTTTATATCATGAATGAAGTTATCTGTTTTTAATGCTTTATATAGGCTTGAATCTTATATAATGATCATCGGTGAATGCATGACAATAGGAATGTTGGTGTGTGATCCATATCTGATAACTTCATCGTAAACGTTATGACTCTAGGGATAGACATAGGGTTTGCGTAATCTTTAAGATTCTTGAATTTAATGCTTGCATGCTTGGGGAATAACCGGGGAACTAGGGTTCTTCCAATATTGTAAAAGTTTTAGAGTAACAAGGGATTGAGCTCTAATAACATGCGAAAGAATTGATTAGATTGATACTAAGGACAATTAACATTAAGAAGGAATTCAAACGTAATAAGGAGATTAAATGAAATCGAACCCCTAGCTACGTTTTTATTTTATTAGTTAAATCACATCTTTAATTTCTTGTCTTTAATTCTTGCAAGTAATTAGCTTAATATTTAATATTTTAATTTTGCAATTCAAATCCTGTTTCCAAATACACTTTCGATTGTCCAACTAAGTTGCGATAGTGAATTAGTGCTTGAATCGTAATCCTCGTGAGAACGATCTCTTACTTAATCATATATTACTTGTACGATCGGTGCACTTGCCGTGAGTAGCAACAAGTTTTTGGCGCCGTTGCCGGGGATTACTATTTCAACATTAATAGTAGCTATTAATTCTTTAGATTGGACCTTATTTTCTGTTATTTAATTTTCTGTTATTTAAATTCAGTTTTATTTTCTTATTTTATATAATCTATTTTTCTGGTTTATGCGAGGTACCGTTGACACCGATTCCTTGCAATTCGACTCGGAGATAGAGAAAACAACAAAAAGAAACAGAAAACTTGCTAAAGAAAGAAGACAGCAAGAGAAAGAAGCTTCAAGCTCAACAGAACCAAGAGAAGAAGCAATGGCAGAAGAAAATAGAGTTCCACCACCTCCACCTCCAAGAACATTGGGAGATTACATGACTCCTGCTAGAGTTCCACAGACAGCTAGCATTGTTAGACCACAAGTGGATGCTAACAACTTTGAACTCAAACCTGCATTATTACAACTGATTCAAAAGGACCAGTTTGCCGGAGGAAGCACGGAAGACCCTTACATCCATCTGGAAAACTTCTTGCTATACTGTGATACCTTGAAGATGAATGGGGTGTCTCGGGATGCTATTTTGCTCAGATTGTTCCCATGTTCACTTAAAGACGAAGCAAGAGGATGGTTGCAATCGTTACCTCAAGGAAGCATCACTCACTGGGACGACTTGGCAACTAAATTTTTGGACAAATTTTTCTCATCTTCGAAAATGGCAAAGCTCAAGGCGGATATCACTTCTTTTGAACAAAAAGAAAGTGAATCTCTATATGAAGCATGGGAAAGATTCAAAGGACTACTCAGGAAGTGTCCCCAACATGGCATTGAAGCCTGGGAACAAGCGAGAGCTTTCTTCCAAGGGATGAAGCCCAACACAAGAACATTGGTGAATGCTGCATCAGGAGGGTCCTTGAAAACAAAAACTCCAGAGGAAGCCTTGAAATTATTAGAGTCTTTAGCCTCTCAGGAGTATGATAATGCTCCCGTACCACAGAGAAGAGCGGGGATTATGAAGCTTGATGGCTATGATGCCATCCTGGCCCAGAATGATCAGATTCTACAGTTTAATAAGAAACAACAACAACAACTAGATGCTCTCACAAAGCAATTTTCTGATTTTCAAGTTTCTTCTGTTAATACTTCTTCTATTGTTTGTGATATTTGTGCAGGTGCTCATGCTACTGATGACTGCAAGGCACCCGAAACTGCAGATGTTAATGGAATTTGGCATGATCAAAAAGTTCCATATAATCCAGGGAGGAACCAATACGGCAATAACCAGAATCAAGGGTGGAGAAATCAAAATCAAAATCAACACCCGGGATTTAGTTACAGTTCAAACCATCAACTGAATCCTCCTATGCCAGTGCAACAACAACCTCCACAACAATCAGAATGGGAGAAGGCCTTTGCACAACTATCCAAGACCACTGCAGATTACATTCAAAGTTCCAATAATTTCAGAGAGGACACTTCAGCCTTTATGCAAGAGACAAGGGCCTCATTCCGGAATCAAGAAGCTTCTATCCGGAATCTTGAAACTCAGATTGGCCAGCTATCAAAGCAGTTCACTGAAAGAGTTCAAGGAACTTTTTCATGTAACACTATTCCAAATCCAAGTAGGGAACACTGCAATGCAATTACTACTATGAGTGAGAAAGCCATTGAACCTGTGGTAAAGCCTTCAGTTGAGAAAAATAAAGATGATGAACCTGCAACTGAAAAGGAAAAAGAAAAGGGAGTTGCTAAAGAATCTGCTGTAGAGAAATCTGTTCCTGAAAAGAAAGAGTTCAAATGGGAGAAAAAGAAAGCTCAAGAAAGGCAAGAAAAGCCATTGGAGCTCTCACCTTATGCAAATATTCCATACCCACAGAGGTTCAGAGAAGAAATTCAAAAGCAACAGTACTCCAGGTTCCTTGACATTTTCAAGAAGCTACAAATTAATATCCCGTTTACGGAAGCCTTGGAGAACATGCCCAATTACGCAAAGTTCATGAAAGATCTTCTATCACGAAAGCGTAAGCTACAAGAATGTGAGACGGTAACTCTGACAGAGGAATGCAGTGCCATTATCCAGAAAAAGTTGCCTCCAAAACTTAAAGATCCAGGAAGATTCAGCATTCCATGCAACATAGGCAATATGGAAGTGAAAAATGTTCTATGTGATCTCGGTGCCAGCATCAACGTGATGCCACTATTTATGATGAAGAAACTGGGGATCACTGAAGTAAGGCCAACCAAGACAATAGTTCAACTGGCTGACCGCTCTACAAAACAAGCTTATGGAATCATTGAGGACATACTGGTAAAGGTTGACAAATTCATCATTCCTGTTGATTTTGTCATCCTTGATATAGAGGAAAATTCTACTATTCCTATGATCTTCGGAAGACCTTTCTTGGCAACCTCAGGAGCGCTGATTGATGTACCAAAAGGAGAGTTGATCTTACGGGTAGACGGGGAGCAGGCAATTTTCAAGTTCTTTGATAAAGAAGTCCCCTCACCTATTACTCAAGCGGAAGATCAAGTCTACTATATTAGTGAGAAAAAAGGAGAAGAAGAGTACAAAGAGAATTCTTCTCAAGAAAGTAAGCCAAAGGTTAAAATGGAGAAGCTCAGGAGCAAGGGAAAGCACGTAAACACCAAATTCAAAGCTATTGAGCCTACTACATCTCACTCATATGCACAAGAGTACTATGGGAGGACACCATTTCTGAATGTTGGAGCTTGTTCATCACCAAGCCCATGCTTTGAACCACCATGAACATAAAAGAGGTACGTCAGGCTCGTGACGTAAAACAAGCGTTTGTGGGAGGCAACCCAATTTTTTTTAGTTTTTCAGCATTTTAGCATTCAGTATTTTAATTTTAGTTTAGTTTATTTTAATAATTCTTAGCTTAGTTTAATTTTTAGTTCCGTAAAAATAAAAACATTAAGTTAGATGATCAATTTGTGTTGAGATGAAATTTCAGGTAAAAGTGGGAATAAAGCATGCCTAAGTACGCGAATCTTATTAAATTATATGATTTGTGAGTAAAGGAATTATAGAGCATAAGGGTTAGCTTTAGAGTTGAACAAGCATGCAAGGAATAGGAAAATATGGAGAAAATTTTCTAAGTATTGAGAGCTTAAGCCCCTAAAGGAGGCTTAAGCCCCCAAAAGTGAAATTTATCTCGGCCTTAGCGCGCTTAAGCGCTCTGGATCGCGCTTAAGCGCGCTCCACGATTGAAAAATCCCATACGAAGAGCGCGCTTAAGTTCCCAAAGGGAAGCTTAAGCGCGATAAACAATAAAAATGACCATAACTCACTGCCTCTCCGCGCTTAGGCGCGAGAGAGGAAGCTTAAGCGCGCTAAATAAAATTTTATCCCATTCCTCACTGCTTCAGCGCGCATTACTGTGCTTAAGCGCGCTCATCATTGACATTATGCATGCTGTTAAAGTATTTCAGTTCAATATACTCATTATTATTTTCAGATGCATCTGAATATAAATCTGGGAATTGTTTTGTGGAAATTGCACTAACTTTTCAAACATGATAGATACTCGAATGCTGATATGACTGCAGACACTACACAAGATGCTGCTGATATATATTATGCTGATGATGCTACTGCTGCTAAGGCCACAGTTAGAGATGACCAGGAGGATGCAGGAGATGAGGATACACCCACTACTGATATGGAGGAGGATTGATCCTCCTATCAGTTTTCAGACTTTGATATTTTGTTCAGTTTATTTTGATGATTTAGCTGTTAGTTTAGTGCATGTTGATATGGATGCATATTGAGACTGATTTAGACATGACGGTGATTTTTTTTTTTTGGATATATGACATGCTGACGTAGTTTCTTATCTGTGACATGTGTGCAGAGTACAGTACCAAAATTTCCTGATTTAAATTTCCTGATTTATTGCTTAGGATTCTTTTAGATTTAAATTTATTGCTGAGGACAACAAGATTTAAATCTGGGAATGGGTACCACGCAATTCATCAGACCATAAACTTCACATGGTCGGCAGGAGAAACTCATGATTACACAAATTACACAGAAATATCCAAATTACAAATGCAGTTGTTCAGGGGAGTTTCTCAATATTATTTTCATATTATATGATTTTAAATATTTCGTATTAGTTTATTTTAAAAATTATTTTGATTAAGTATTAGTTTATATTGAGTTTTCATATATAATAGTTTTTAATACCCCATCCATCCTTAATCACTAAATATTTAGTGAAATTTTAAAATTGGTGAATTTTTAGAATTTTCCATTGTGCTTGATATGTATGCATAGTGAATAATTACATGAAATTGGTTGATAGTTGAGATTAAGAGTATGATGGTGTAAATTTATTTTCACACATAAATGAGCGTCAGTCAAGCATGCTTCATAATTCACTGGAATAAGAGAAAAATAACTAAAGTGATCAAATAGAGAGTTGGAAAAATAAGTCTCACACCCTTAGCCGTGAGCTATTGAGCCTAAACAGAAAATATTTTTTTTGTGGTGTGAACTTCTCTGTATGAATCACTCCAGAACTTGTTTTGTTTCTCTTTGAAATGGTCTGTAGTATACAATTGTTGAAATGATAGAGGCAGTTCTTTCTAAAAGCTAGATAGCCAAATAGCCACCCTGATGTTCATCCTTAGTTGAAGCCCCTTTGAGCCTAGGCCTATTTATTCATTGACAGCTTATTGTGAATAGCCATTTTATACACATCCTCACCTGAACTGATTAAATTTCAAATTTAAATGAGGGACTAGATATGATTGAAACAAAAAGAGAAAATCAAACTCTAAGTGTATGGGAGAAAAGGGTGAAAAGAGGAAAAAGCCAAAAAGTGGTGGAAAAGAAAAGCAAAGAAAAAGGTTGAAATGTGTATCTGTACAAAAACAGAAAAAGAAAAACAAAAGGAAAAAGGAAAAGAAATAAAAGACTCATATTATATGAATAAGTGGAAGAGGAAAAAGAAGAAAAATAAGAGAAATCTGTTTACTATATGTTGAACAGTTAAACTAGTTACTCTTTGAAGTTGAATTTTGATCAGTTCTTAAGCCACTTACCCAGATGATTCCTTTCCTTTTCCCTAAAGCCACGTTACAACCTTAACAAAGACCTCTGGATTGACTTTGTATACTAATAAGACTGTGGAGAGTGAGAATATAAACAAGCCTATGGTAGTGTTAATGCAGTGAAGTAAGAGTGAAACACATACCCTTAAACACTGAGTATGAGTGAATAAATAAAAATCCAATGAGAAGGTGTTGTGGAAATTAAATGGTACTACTCTTTCTTTTGAGAACACATGTTATGATTTTATGACTGGTGAATTATGACTGTTTGCTTGAAATTGATGTGTCATTGATTTTTAATAAATCTGAATACTTTGATATCTCATTATTGATCAGTTTTCTGTCTGTTATTCATTAAGCATGACTAGCCGTCTCCAAACTTTCCCATAGTTTTATTCTAATTAATTGCTGAGGACAGCAATGTTCAAATCTGGGAATTGTTTGATAAACCTTTAGTTTATCTTATTTTATAGACTAAATTAATATAAAATATCAAGTTAAATAAGTCAAAAACTAGGATTTAATATAATAATCATGAACATTATCTGAATTTTTATTTAATTGAATCATCTTTGCTATTTTTTAGGGATTTGTTGACAAAAGGAGTCAAAGATGAAGATTGGATAGATAGAGATCACAACTAGAAAAGATGAGATCAAGAGATGATAGAGGAAGATAAAAAACAAGATAGATTTGAGATCTTATCAAGTTGTTAGAGAAGAAGCTTAAGCCTCCATCATGAAGCTTAAGCTTCCTAAACAAGCAAATAGCCTCTGCCAATGGAAGCTTAAGCCCCAATAAGGAAGCTTAAGCCTCCAAGATACCCAAAAAAAGTCTCGGCCTATGGGCGCTTAAGCCCCCAAATCAGGGCTTAAGCGCGCCACAAGAAGAAAGTTTTGTCGCGAGGAGCGCGCTTAAGCGCCCTCCATCGCGCCTAAGCGCGCAACGCGAATCTAAAATCACCGTCCTAGGGCGCTTAAGCGCGCTATAACAAGCTTAAGCGCCCAGTCAGATCCAACTTAGGCCCATTCAAGGTGTTTCATCAAGATACGAACTCTTAACCTATTTAAACACCATTGGGGACCAGAAATACATAACTTTCACATTGCAAAACAACTCTTGGGTGCTTAGAGGCTGAAGGAACGCGGAGGAACATCAGATTCATGTTCGTGAGCGGCGGAGACGGATCAACGTCAAGTGTTCACTGGAGACATTGAAGATCCACCAATTATCTATGGAGTTTGGGGGAGCTTTTCTATTTTCTTTTGTTCTTGATTTTGCTATGTCCGGCTAGTTCTTTAAGTAGTTAGGGTTATATGGATTTTAGTCAATTTATTATGTTTTGAACAATTCGCTGTGTTAATTTTCCTTTATATCATGAATGAAGTTATCTGTTTTTAATGCTTTATATAGGCTTGAATCTTATATAATGATCATCGGTGAATGCATGACAATACGAATGTTGGTGTGTGATCCATATCTGATAACTTCATCGTAAACGTTATGATTCTAGGGATAGACATAGGGTTTGCGTAATCTTTAAGATTCTTGAATTTAATGCTTGCATGCTTGGGGAATAACCGGGGAACTAGGGTTCTTCCAATATTGTAAAAGTTTTAGAGTAACAAGGGATTGAGCTCTAATAATATGCGAAAGAATTGATTAGATTGATACTAAGGACAATTAACATTAAGAAGGAATTCAAACGTAATAAGGAGATTAAATGAAATCGAACCCCTAGCTACGTTTTTATTTTATTAGTTAAATCACATCTTTAATTTCTTGTCTTTAATTCTTGCAAGTAATTAGCTTAATATTTAATATTTTAATTTTGCAATTCAAATCCTGTTTCCAAATACACTTTCGATTGTCCAACTAAGTTGCGATAGTGAATTAGTGCTTGAACCGTAATCCTCGTGGGAACGATCTCTTACTTAATCATATATTACTTGTACGATCGGTGCACTTGCCGTGAGTAGCAACATTGCTTAGCAACTTGCTCATCCACCTTATCTTGTCAATCTCCATAATGTTTTTCACGTTTCTTAGCTTAGAAAATATGTCTCAGATCCCTCTCGCATTCTTGATATAGACTCAGTACAAGTTAAAGAGAATCTAACTATTAAGACCAGACCAGCTCAAATCCTTGATAAAAATTGGAAGCAATTGAGGAATAGGATGGTTCCATTAATTAAAGTACGTTGGGAAGGACTTTCACCACATGAAGCGACATGGGGAAAAGAGGAAAAATTACGACAAAATTATCCAGAATTTTTTTAGCAGGTATGTCAAAATTTTGGGACAAAATTTTATTTAGGAGAGGGAAAATGTAATATTTTAAAATAATAATAATAATAATAATAATACAAATTAATTAGAAGTGACATGGCTGTATGCTAAATCCATTTGATGGTCTATTTAAATATCTGAAATAACTAGTTTAATCTATTTAAAATGAATAAAATATAACAAAATTTTAACAATACAAATTAACATGATCACTAACAATCATCGTATAAAAAGACACCTACTTCCTGACATTTTTCAAATATTGTTCGAAGAGGTCAATACCGCTTATGTAATATTTTGAAATAACAATAATAATAATAATAATAACAATAATAATAATAATAATAGTTAAAAAAAGAGAGAAGAAATTAAATTAGATTACTACATTTCAAGCATCTACTGAAATAAACTTCCATGGAAAGAAATTGGAAAATTGAAGCTCATTTGTAATAAAGTGTTTTTATCTCAAACAATGGATCATTCTAGATAGGCAACGTGTAATAAAGATAACATTGTTAAGATTTTTTGTTATATGCAATGATTACCTTATTAAAATTTAGTTAGATTTAAATGAAACTTTAGTTAGTTTAGTTACAACCCAATTAGATGCAATGATTAAACTAGTCAAATTAGTCAATACACTTGCGTATATATATGTGCACATATGTATCAGAAGAGAAAAGAACGCAAAAGTAAAGAAAAGAACACAATAAGAAAGGAAAGGAACAGCGAGAAAGAAAGGGATAGGAGAGGAGATAAGAAGGTTATATTGAGAGATAAAAACTTTCTCTCATTTTCTCTTCTTTTCGCTATTCTTTTTAAATTTTTATCGATAGTGTTATTCTGCCAAATTCCTTTCTTAAATTTCTTTTCTACTTGATTTTATTCATATCTTTAGCTTTATTATTATTTAGTCCTAAGATCTTATTTTTTAAAAAAGTTGATTACTGGTTAATGAGTTATTTGGTACCAAATAAATATTAAGAGAATGTGTAAATTTTAACTGTATGTTACTGCTGTGAACTGACCCACAAAAGTTTGGGATCAGATAGTTAGGGTAAGAGATGCCTTATCATGACTTGAGCTCCGTCATACAGAACTTTTCACATGCAGAGACCCACAAAGTTGGGCATTTAATTAGCTTCAGTTAAATATTACACAATTTATTATTTATCTTTATTCCTGAAATAATTTTATGAAATTACTTGAGAGAATGATATATTTTTCATTAATACGGTTGGAATGGTTATAGTTATAAAACCTCAATATTACTGAGAATTTTCTCACATTTTATTTGCTTTGCTAATCTTTCCAGATGCCTAACTAGTCT